CTCTTTTCTCCATTTTTTGTTTGTGGTGGGTGTGGGGGGTTGCTATGTTTGCTATTATGGCTTTGCATAAACAAGTCTTTCCATATATTTTGAAAGACATTGTACCTTTCATCGATTAGCTGATTCTGGGGTCTTGTTAATTTTGTTTTGCTGTACTTATTCCCTTTTTTCTTGTGTGTAGTCCATGGCTGATCAGATTGAGAACATGGGGGTTGTAATAGAAAACCATCAGAAGGTTTGTCCATACGATATTTTTTTAAAGATAAGTCATTGACTTATTTCTGGTTTTTTGGCGATATCTAACTTCATTTTTACATGTGGCATGTTATAAACAGCAATTTGAGGAGTTGCAGAATAAATATGATCTCCAGGTTCGACAGTGTTATGATTTGAGTAGCAAACTTGATTCAACTGAGGTGAGCTATCTTCATCTACTCATGTTCATGGTATTTTGGGAAAGGATTTTTTTGCTATAGATTCTGAAGACTCATTGTAAAACGATGTTGCAGAAAACTTTGAACCATACCACTAAGTTGCTTTCTATCACTGAGGAAGAATTGATGAAATGCCGATATGCTTTGAAGGAGAGGGATTTTATCATTTCCGAGCAGAAGAAAGCTGGTCTGTCTTTGAATCCTTAATTTCTTGAACTTGATTGTTTTCTGCATTTGTGTTTGTTTTGATATTATTGAATGCATGGCAGAAAATGCTTTGGCTCAGCAAGCATGCAATTTGCAATCTGACTTGGAGAAAGCACTTCACGATAATGCATCCTTGTTTCTAAAAATTGGTTTGTAGCCCTCAACAAGCAATTATATTTAAGTTATTTTAATTGTCAAACAAATTTACTAAGTCTTTGTATTTATGATGTGATACTGTGCAGGTAGAGAGGACAAGCTGAGCGCTGATAATAGGTTGGTAGTGAATAACTACCAGGAAGATCTTGCCAAACAAGTTGGTTCTCTTTGCAATATTGTAGCAACATCGATGTCTCATCAGAATGAACACCTTCAGTGTGTAGAAAATCTTTGTCATTCTTTTTTAAGTGCACATGTTAAGGTATTATTTGAAACTTTCCCTTGCTTTTCTCTCTTATGAGGTTCGTTTATGTTAGGATTGTTTTTTAATGATGTCTTCTTGCTTTTGGACTTCTTGATTTTAGGCAATTATGGACATGAAAAGTAAATTGTCATCTTCAAGGACTTTGTATCTTTCTCATATTGAGGCAGTGCAAAATGTTGTGCGTTTGCACAAGGCGAGCTCTAATGCTGGTCTAGAGGAAATTTCATGTTTGGCTTCTTCTAATGTGCAGTCTGTTGAAGAAGTGGGTAGCAATGATGGAGTTCCCCTGTTGCACATATCAGTTTTGTACCATGGATATTTTCTTGTTGCTGCTATCCATTTTTACCAACTTTATTTTTTTATTTTCTTGGAATCAGTTTCTAACTTCAGAGGCTGGTGAAGCAGCTACAATATTTGAGGATCTTCAGAGCGGTCTCTCAACACAGCAGGGTGAAATGACAGCTTTTGCTAAGGAATTGAAACAGGTCCTGCTCTGATATCTACCCTATTACATTTATAATTTAATCTACGAAAATTAAGTTTGTAGCACATCAGTTATTTGCATAGCATGGGGGAAAAATAACTTTGCTTTTTCAATATCTTCTTATTTGGTTTCTGCACAACAGAGATTCAATTCGAGTATTAAGCAAATAAAAGACATTTCTGAGTACTCTCAAGGATTCCTACACAAGCTTTTGGAAGAATCAAAGAGGCTTGAAGATCATGTGGGGCAGACCAATGATATTAAATTAAATAGCATTGCTGAATTTCAGAAGGCTTATGAGGTATAGACAATTACTGCACAGATATATCTGCATTGATATATTTTCTTCTGAAAAATTTCTGACATCCCAAGTGTATGTCACACAGGAGCAATCAAAATCTGATGCAGAGAAGCTTATTGCTGATATCTCTAGTTTAGTCTCCATTCACATGTGCCGTCAGAAAGAGATGGTTTGTTTCCATTGTTGGTTCATTATAATTTTCTCCAAATTAAGATTTTTATTCATTCTCATTCTGAAATGAATGACTGTTGAACTGACAGGTGGATGCCAAGCTTGTTGGTTTCAGAGAAAGTGCTATTGCAGACAAGTATTTCATGGACGGTCATGTTTCCTCCATGGAGGGTATTACCACAGACGCAAAAAGAAAATGGCTGGAATTTTCAATGCAAGCGGAAAATGATGCTAAGGATGGTGTTGACTATTCTGCTGCTAAGCATTGCCGCATGGAGGTCATTCTACAAAAAAGGTAAGTGTATCATTTTTCGTGCCGACTCTTGATCCATATTCTTTTTATTCTTGAATGCTGATGTTTGTTCTGTTCTTTTATTTGTTAGTGTAAGTACTGCTGATACAGCTTTGGAGCACTGGAAAAAGACACAGGAGTCTGTGAATGATATGGGAAATAAACATGTTTCAGCTATGCTGTCACTTATCAGGTAGGGAAACCTTTTTCACATCTTGTTCATCAGGGATTTGTTGCTTTTGCTTAAGTTTTGTATGGGCAACCCCATTAGTCTTCTTGAAAAGAAAATGTACTGGAGAGCGAACTGTGCTTCTTGAATTTAACAGATAAAGGGGCCTCTACTTTTAAACAATAAGGGGACATGTTTATCATTCTTATAACATCATAGATTTTGTTTGTTCCATTTCATGTCAATTACCCTTAATCCTTAAATATTTCTTATTGCAGAAATGCTTCGGACGGTAATGAGCAACATGATGTCGAGATCAATTCAGTGAGGGCTGCAGTTGAGCAAGATGTGGCAAAGAATAGTGATGATATCCTTCAGCATGTTGATAGTAAGTTTTTGTTGTCTTACTTTAATATATCCTGAATCTGTCGAGCAGTGATGAGTTGTGTTCAAATGTTTTGTGATCTTTCTTATAATTGTATTGTTCAAGCAAGTAAACGTTAGCATGATCTAACTGGTCAACAATTGCCTGCTAGTAGTACACATTCCAAAACCTTTCCAGGTTTTGAAACTGGTTGTTAGAGTGTAAAACCTACAACTGACTCATTGTTTCATGCATTTGAATTTGAAAATGAAGTTGGGCAACGATGATGAAATGTAGGCAAAATTTAATGCATTAGAGATCTGAATATGTGCGGTGTAGTGGTTTTGTATCCGTGTTTCTATTGGCTTTGGTTATTAAGAGTCGTACAGACTTCCTAAGCATAATATTTTATCGAATTCTCCTACAGGTGTGTCCGAGCAGGAGCAGGAATCTATATCTAAAATCTTGGAGACTATCAAGGCTCATTCAAACACCCTTGAGACTTTACAGGAGGGTCACTCGGGCCAAGCTGTGTCAATTGAGGAGAGGGCACAGGATACCTTCCAGAACCATTATTTGGTGAGCTTTCTTTCCACACAACTTGTTATTGTGATGTACAAATCAGTCAAGACCATATTCAGAAGGGGAAATAAATTGTGCTTGAACACTTTTCTCCTACTTGTCAACCGATGTGTAGTAAAGGGAAGAGTAACAAGATATCGAGCATTTTTATTCTTCTTAGTTTGTGAGCTCATTTACAATTCGGTTCATGATTTATGTTTTGATGAATGTGTAGGACTATGAACCTAGTGGATCTACGCCAGAAAAGTCTGAGCCGGAAGTTCCAAGCAAGGGCACCATTGAGTCACTTCGAGCCATGCCAATGGAAGCTCTTGTGGAGGAGTTCCGGGAAAACAATTCCTACGAGTCATTCGATGTGAAGGAGTTGAAACCGTCGCTTATACCTCGCACTCCGCTTACACAACTGAACTAAATGTGGCGCGATGATCATCGCTCGATTACCTGCATGAAATGGAATTTGTATTTGTATCATTATCTTACACTTTTTCTTGCTTCTGAGAAATATAATGTAGCAGAGAGTAGTGGAAGTTGGGGGTGCATGGTTTGCTCCTGGTGCAGTTGGTGTACCAATAAATCCAGTCTTTGGATTTAGCAGTGTAGCTCGATATACATAGGAATTTATATTGGAGGCAGAAAAAACCTACATGTGTTTAATTTTATTCAATCAATGGTGTTGTGTTCAACCACATTTGCCTCTCTTTGCAAGTTTTATCTTTCTTTTTGCGTTTACGTTGATTTCGTTATCTCCTTCCATGCCGGCCATGATTTCGCGGTTGCTGCTGGTGCCACCAATCTCTTCCTCTTCCTCTCCCTTCTCTTATTGCCTCTGTACTGGTGAATGCAAATGTTGAAATAAAATTTATAGCATTGTCCTTTGCTCTTCAACTTTCAAATGTTGTAAGAGCTCATGAGTAGAACTTGCCTCCAAAAACCGACTTGTAACTTGCAAGTTAAGTACGCTTAAATATAGTCTTAAATTATATCCTCCCAAACCTCTTGAATTTATGATAACCTGATTTCGAGAAAGAAAAAGGGAATATACCCTAATTCCATTTTACTTTTAAAATAAAAAAAGAGCAGCATCCGAAGTTTCAAGTTCGATTCTCGTAGAAACTTGAAACAAGATCTTCATATTATATTTACGTATGATGTAATGAAAAATTCTATGATGCTCCGGAGTATAATATAGTTCGAGCTTTTTAACCTTTAGATTTGGATTTTTTAATTTTAAATAAAGATCTAATGCTTCAAAAACCATGTTTCAGATCATCGTAGAAAATCCGTGACGTGCTGTCTCATTCTGAAACTACAAACTCCAAGACTGTTTGAAACATTGTCAACTCCCACAACCTTGTTATGCTCAAACCGAAAAACCAGACCTTCCTTGTCCCCAACCATGGCATCCTCAGACTCCCATTGTTCTCCACAGCTCCTGCTGTTATAGACACCACGGCTGTCCCTGCCCAACCTCCTTTTCCCCGAACTCTGGACGCCAAATTCTATGTCAACGTCCTGCTCAGCTCCAGAAACATCTTTCACATCCGACAAGTCCATGCCCAAGTGACTGCCAATGGAATGCTTCAAAACCTCACCGTTGCAAACAAGCTGCTTTATATGTACACCGAGCAGAGGGTGCTGGTTGAAGCTTATGCTCTGTTTGGTAGGATGGAGGAGAAAGATGCAGTTTCTTGGAGTGTAATGGTTGGTGGGTTTGTGAAGGCTGGTGATTTTACCAATGGTTTTGCAACATTTAGGGAGCTTATTCGAGGCGGTGTTTCGCCGGATAACTATACATTGCCTTTTGTGATTAGGGTTTGTAGGGATTTGATGGACCTGCAAATGGGCAGGTTGGTTCATGGCATTGTGTTGAAACATGGGTTGGTTTCGGATAATTTTGTTTGCGCTGCGCTCGTGGACATGTATGCAAAATGTACTGTTATCGATGATGCCCGCCAACTGTTTGATAATATGCAGAGCAGGGATCTTGTGAGTTGGACAGTGATGATTGGTGCATTTGCTGAGTGCAGGAATGCTAATGAGGCTTTGGTTTTGTTTGATCGGATGGTTGATGAAGGTCTTTTACCAGATAAGGTTGCTATGGCTACTGTTGTTAATGCTTGTGCAAAATTGGGGGCTATGCATAAAGCCAGGCTTGTTCATGATTATATATGTAGGAATAAGTTTTCGTTGGATGTGATCTTAGGAACGGCGATGATTGATATGTATGCTAAGTGCGGATGTGTTGATTCTGCTAGGGAAATTTTTGATAGGATGCACGTAAAGAATGTTATAACATGGAGTGCTATGATTGCAGCTTATGGTTATCATGGGCATGGCCGAAAAGCTATTGATATTTTTGAAATGATGTTAAGCAGTGGAGTGTCACCAAATGCAATAACTTTTATTTCACTATTATATGCTTGTAGTCATTCAGGCTTGATCGAAGAGGGTCTTTGGTTTTTCTCTTCGATGTGGGATGAATATGCTGTCAGAGCAGATGTCAAACATTATACTTGTATGGTTGATCTCTTGGGCCGTGCTGGGAGACTTGATGAGGCCTTAAAATTAGTCGAGAGCACGGCAGTTGAGAAAGATGAGGGGTTATGGGGAGCTTTTCTTGGCGCATGTAGAATCCATGGGAATGTAGACCTGGCAAAAAGGTAGTGAATTCTCTTCTTGAACTACAGCCAGAAAACGCGGGGCATTATGTATTGCTTTCAAATATATATGCACGAGAAGGTAGGTGGAAGGAAATGTCAAAAATGAGAGATCTGATGACCCAGAGGAAACTGAAGAAAATTCCGGGTTTGACTTGGATTGAAGTGGATAACAAAATTTACCAATTTAGCGTGGGCGATAGGTCTCATCCATGGTCAGAAAAGATTTATGTGATGATCAAGAGTTTGAATGAGAAGTTGGAGCTGGCTGGTTATGTCCCTGATACAAATTTTGTGTTACATGATGTTGACGAGGAAGTGAAGTTGGGTATGTTGTCTTCACATAGTGAGAAGTTGGCAATTGCATTTGGTCTTCTTGCCACTGCTGATGGAACTCCGATCAGAATTACAAAAAATCTTAGGGTTTGTGGTGACTGCCACTCGTTTATCAAGTTTGTATCGGCTATAACACAAAGGGTTATCATTGTTCGAGATGCAAATCGGTTTCACCACTTCAAAGAAGGGGCATGCTCATGTGGAGATTATTGGTAATCACATATTTGACGATAATTTAGGTTAGTTTTCCCAAAGTCAAATTAAAAAGTTGAGATTTCCTCTCTTGCTTTATTTTCCATCTTACGCAATATCAATTCACAAGACATTTAGGTTTTCAATTGTCTAGTGAGTTTATGTCTTTAATAGCACATCATATATTATACACGGATCAACTAAAAGTTTCTTGAACGACATAGATAAAATATGAAAATCTGGATTGTTCTTTACAGACGGATTTAGCCAATTTACATGATGACATCCGGTTTGTAGGCACATAATGCTTAAGTTGGAACGGGGCAATAATATTTTTCAGTCGTTTTTCTAGGGGAGCATCAGCATTAAAAAATTTAGTAGTACAATATTTTTCTTTCAATGTGAATGATAATTTTGAAAGTAAAAGAGATCGTAACAAGAAAATAATTCAAGTCTTGACATAGTTTGGTGGTTATGTTGTTCTTTTATATGTTCAGTTCTTAATTATGTTTTAAATTAGTAACAAGTTTGACATGATTATCATCTTTACTACAACTTGTGATTAAAATTTTAAGATAGTCTCCCTTCGGATATTTGGTCCCCTGATTAGAACGCGAGTGATAATATGATTGTTATTTAGTTTCGTATTGTTATTAGGATTGTTGTGTCTGTTTAACCCTTTAAGGGTTATGATTAGTATATTTTGAATCTACATTTTCTCAATAAGCATAAACTTGGAAAACATCAACTCCCATACATCGTTGTTTCCTTTGTTCTGCTTAGTCTTTTGGTTCTTGAAATGTTCCTTTTGTGTTACTCTACGTTTACCTTTCCCAACCCCATCTAGTTCCCTTGTTTCACAATGGTCCACTGAACGTCAAGACCGTGTCATCCCCTCTTCAGGAGGATGTGGACAACCTTAGAATTTACAAGTTTGCAAAACACCGTCAACCTAGCTGGGCAGGTAGGGATGTTGCCTATCCATAAGCGATCGTGTGACCATTTAGGGTACCCAACATTTAGAATGTCACAATCCATCTGTTGTGTTCCTTTGTAACTTTCGCTTTTGCACTTAAATTAATAGCAACGACAATGTGGGTGAACTTGTCATGGATGAAGGGAACCCTATAAATGTCGTCTATTAGTCGATCCTAGGCTTCTAGCTAAAGATCAAACTCGGAAACAGAACAACTCCCATCTATTTGTGTCTCACCAGCAACTGTTTTGTACTTTAACGAGACAAATACCTGCTGTAGTTAGTCAGAGAGGGACTTGAATTCAATTGAATTCTACCAAACCTAGAGGCAGTAATTACAAACCAAAGTTTTGACCCCTTCCTCAACCAGTTAGTGATAAAACAACCCAATCACTGATCCTATTTGTCGAAAACTTATATACCTAATTCTGAGGGATTGTGGAACTAATGATGCTTATCCCACCTTGTTAGCACTACTGTTATAGTCTTTTGGATCCTTAATTTTTATGATTATCCTAATTATTAGTTCAATTGATGTTCGACACAAGGAAGACAGGAATTTTCTAAGTTGCTTTCTAGCTATAAACTATGCCAATGCATGATTTAGAGAAAGAACACAAATTATGAAATATTGTATTCGAAGCTTTTGAAACCTCCATTGCTTTGAATTTGCTCTGGACAATAAAATAGCTTTTGGTACAAAAATAAAAACAAAAGTTCTGTGGTGAGACCTGCAAGCTGTTGATTCCATACATCATCTATATCAGGGTGTATTTGTGGCTGCTTTTGGAATGGCTAAAAGGTGGTTTCTGCCAACCATAAGCACTTCAGTCTATGTTTAGTAAGAAAACTTAAAATGTTTCCAAGTCACACAAACAATTTCTAGAGAAGCACTCCCAACTGCTTTTCCAGGAAGCATTTGAATGTTTAATAATAATTTCAACGTGCTTTTAAAGAAAATCACATCTAGCAGAAACCCTTATGATGAACAAAAGTGCTTATGTAAGCAGTTCCAAATGGCGACCCTAATATATAATGCCATTCCTAACTCTTCAAAATTGAATCATTTGGCCTATCTTTACACGTGTTTTATTTTTTTAATGGTAAATATATCTATTTGTAAGAATCATTGAAGGGCTGTGTTTGTCAGCTGGTATAAATGCCATACAGAAGAACAGTTTTATTTTTTTAATGGTAAATGTATCTATTTGTAAGAATTATTGAAGGGCTGTGTTTGTCAGCTGGTATAAATGCCATACAGAAGAACAGGTCTTCAATTTGGTTTGCTTTTTCTTCAACTTTTTGTTCTTGCTAGCAGTATTTTTTGTCTCCAACTTTTGGTAGTGGCTGTTTGGTGGGACTAACATGATGTGTGATGGATACTGTCTCTTATCTTTTCTTTCCAGTTGAAGGTTCTTGACAAATCTCATTTAATCTCCATCTGGCAAAGATGATGCCCTCAACTGCAATCTGCGTGTACTTTCATGAAGTTGTGTTCTGCACCTTAATGCTCTCATGACCTATCTCCCGCTCCAAAACCATGCTTGCAATGTCAACACTTTATGTCTGATAGCCAAAGGGACACAAGTGCTCAAATGCACCAAATCTGTATAGTCTCTTCCATCAATTCTATAGGCTCCCAAATATGGCCATGCATTTCACATTGAAGATCTCCATTCTTCAGAGATTGGCTCAAGTCCTATTTGCAAATTTGCTACCAAATGGTAAAGATTGTTGTACAACTTTATGTCCCATCACCAAATCTGAAAACCAAGATGGTAAAGAATACAAGTGCTCACCCAACACCACCCATTTGATAGTGGGTGGGATGGGTGCATGTCATTGTCTCTATGTGTTTGCAAATGTATATAGATATACATATAAATATGGATATATGTACAAACTAATTTTCTTTTACCTATAGAATCAAACTTGAAAGAGAAGGGTGCCCAAGAGCTTTAAAAAAATGTTATTTTTCTGCCATATCCAATATTCTTGTTTGTCTAACTCTTTTACTTCCTTTGAAACGGCTTCACTTATCTACCAATAGCATGTAAGTTGCCCCTTCCACATAATTTAGGTTTAGTTGTGCGGTGAAACCAAGCAGCCAGTTGTTAAGAGCTCATAGTTGAATTTCTTGAAAAACTGGCTTGTAAAGGAAGACCGCTCGATAACCATACTAAAATATCGCATGTGGAACAATTGAGTCGTAATAAAATTTGTATCATTATGATTAAAAATAAAACATTATTATTAAAAGGAGGAATTAGTGTTTAAAATTATTACAATAATTTAAGGAAGAAGAAATTTCAAACTCCGGGTATAAACCCAATTGTCACAAATAATTATCAAATGAAAAGACAAGCATTTCAGTTGGGTCCCTGGTGAGATGTTTGCAGGAGTTGAAGTGAGAGAATGGCTCAAGTGATGTGATTCGAATGTGCATTTGTCTTGATCGGCGAACCGGTGTGAAAGTAAGTGAACATTTTGGGTACAATTTCCTCCACAAGGGCATGTGTATGCATGTAGTTCCACTTATCTGCTCAACTTATTGCATACAAATTTTCACATGGGACAAATATTTATGTTTTTTAACGAATAAAGCATAAAACACGTATCATATATGAATTAAACTTTAGCTAAATACACAATTGGTATATTATTTCCATTGACGTGTTTAAAACCTAGCTAGCTTAAAAAAACTGTTAAAGGTTCGGAGGTCACGATGTTAATAATAGTAAAATCATTCAATATAAAAGAGATTTTAACCCGTCTTCAACTCAAGCAACTTCCTCTTACATGTTTGTTTTCATTAGATGGAGATTTGGATTTAATGTGAAAAATTAATTAAATCAGTTTGGATATTAACTGTGTGGACAAATGAAATCATTTTAATGGTAACCAAATTGCTAAACATATATATATATATATATATATATATATATTTTTTAATTTGACTTATTTTGTGAATTATGATCTACAAGAGAATATATGATAAATAGTTCCGATGATCAAAACAAATATATAAAATAAAACGTCAACATATAATCCATATACATCCTCGCTCGAAAACTCTCGTAAAGTTTAATTTATTTTTTGTTCCTTCCTTTTTATTAACTAGCAAAAAGAAATTGGAGGGTGGGGGGTGACTGCACCAGAGAAAATGGACGTCAAAAGTAAAGACTTGTATTTAATAACTAATTCTGCCCTTGTAATCCCTTCAAAATGGGTTGGAAAATCACGAAAATCACTCCTCTTCTGATCTCGATTTTGAAAGCAAATTACATTAACGTCCAGATAAGCGGACAAAATCCAACATATATCCACATAAGATAAGGACATGCATGTAGATATGATAGTGTTATCCACATATCCATTTTTCCTTTTACACTCCTCTTAGTTTTCGGCATCAAATAAATGGAAGAATATTAGTGACCAAAACTTAACAAGGGTGTGTGAGAGATAAAAATGAGTGTGGATAATATTATCCATGTGGATATTGCTGCATTTATCTCTTTATCTGACAGTCAGTTTGTTCATTGATTAGGATTTATGTTTAAACTAATACTAGAGAGACTAAATTTACAAACAAAAAAACTAAATGATGTGTCACTAATAGAAATGAGCATGTTTATCAACCCTTAATAAACCAATTATCAACTTCCATGTTATTTAGTTTCCAAAGTTATCTACAAATTTAGTCTCTTTAGCATTACCCTTTGGATTTAAAAGGTTTGAAGCAAAATATGAACCATGATTTCCAGCTGTTTTTTAGGATTTACTGAACCATTTTCATCAGAACAGCAAGCCATTACACTAACATAAAAAAATGGAAAAATTAAGTTTATTGTGATTTTCACACCGTCACATAATACAAATGAACGATAAAGTTTACATTTTTCTAGTCTAATTATACAAATAGTAGATATCATGAAAGAGTTTTGACATCCACTTCAAAAGATTTACTGCTAAAAGTGAATTAGAAACTTTAAAGCTTTAAAGCTTTAAAACGAGGATTATAATCAACTATGTTGGGATCACAATAAAAAACTTTATAAAAAAGAATATAAAGGTGGAGGCAGTGTGTGACCTTTGTGACATAAGATATTAACTTTTTACTTTTTATTATTTTTCTTTTAAATCCCCAAAACTAACCGCTCGATTAATAAGAAAGCTAATCCTTAATCCAATCCTCTCCAAACCTACCACCATCAGTTTCTCTCCCCTCCCTTTATATATCAGACTTCCTTTCATCTTTCAATGCACATTTCCTCTCTCTCTCTCTCTCTCTCTCTCTCTCTCTCTCTCTCCCCAACAAAAACCTTCTTTGTTATTAAGTATCACACTACATAAACATCCTAAGCCTGTTTCCTAATTCTCTCTGATCTGCAAAACTGCAAATTTTCTGTTCTAATGATGGATATTACAGCAATAAAGTTGCTTGTTGAAGTTATTTTTCTCGCTTGTTGTTATGTTTTTGCTATAAACAACATTACCGGAGTCGAAGCGTTGCACAATGTTTATCCCGAGTTTCAGTCTCTTGCCGCCGTTAAGGTGAAGCAAGTCCACAGAACTGCGTTTCACTTTCAACCTCCCAGAAACTGGATTAACGGTACTATATACTTACTTTGCTCTATTAATTTTTAGATTTTAGCATCATAAACCTTAATTACATTTTACAACTATATTATGATGACGAATTGACGACCATGATCATGAAATTTGGTTTTATTTTTTTCATCTGCATGCGGCTTTGATGAGCTACTCTCTCATTTCCGAGGGATCGAGTTATGAGTGTTCGTTTTGGTCATTTTCTTTTGTTGTTCAGATTTTGATTTACCCTAATTCCTTTTTGATTCAAAGCAAATGATTATCCCATGTTAAAATGCGTAAATAGTTGCTTACTTGCAATCATAGTCCGACATATATGATTGAAAGTAACTAATCACATTACGTGATTTATTTGTTCAAATTTTCTTTTGAAAACTTATTATCCTATGTATGCATGTATGATTATTTCCCTAACTGATATTTTTTTAGCATTGAGACACGCAATTAGCACATAGCACTTGCCAAAAAAGAAGAAACCAAGCATGCAATTGTGCGACCATGTAAATATGTTGGGGGATTTGAGAGTGACGTTTACACTTTACTGGCATTTGAGCTCTAGGTGTTTTTCCCTCCTCATTTTATGGCAATATAAAATTTTCCTTTTTAGTGAAAGAAAACTTGGATAGGTTCTCATCTCTTTTATGTAACAGTTTAAACCATCTTTGACCCAAAACAAAAAAATAGTTTAAACCATCTATTTGATAAACTTTTTAGGCATTCGGAACCAGATGAAGAGCTTGACCCACTAATTATTTTTTTCTGGCTTTATGAAAAAAAAAAAAAATGGTACAACAGATCCGCCATATATACATATATATAGGCCCTTTTATGCAAAAGGAATCTCCATTTTTTGAAAAAAAAATGGAGATTAGGTATGGTGGGTCACTCCATGCCGAACTTCAACAATCCAAATTATCTATTTGTAAGTCTCGATTCATAAATGATCCTTACAAAAATTTAATTTAATTGGAAACTATTTGCCTATCTAAGTATCAAAGTAAAACTTCATTGTTTCTTATATAACAAAGTATTCGTTAATTTCTTTGAATCCAATTAGATGTATTAAATATCTTCGATTTGGCTAATATTTTGTAAGAATGATCTATGAGGTGCAACTTAAAAAATAAACAGCTCGGATCATTAAAATTCGATGTGATGTGAACCCCACAACTAATCCTATTTTTATTAAAAAATGGGATCCCTTCTCCTAAAAGCTTTCTCTATGTATATATGGAAAGCTTTTAAAAGAAGGGATCCCATTTTTGATCCAAAAAGTATATTTTGATCAACATCGGACTCATATGATAAAAATATTTTGATCCAAAAAGAATACATATGACAAAATATTATCAATAAAGAGGTGGTTTGTGCTTTTTTCGGTCATTCATTTATGTGTCCTGATAAATAGCCGATCTGGTCGGTTCAGAGCACAGGCTTCATGTGTTATTTCTAAAGTTCTGGTCTTTGTTGTAATTATTCTGTAAATTTTGACCCTAAAAACAAAAAAATATTCTAAATTTCACTTGATGTTCTAGATCTGCTCAGTCAGACTCATTATGTTTATTCTTTGTAAAGATCTGAAAACCCAGTTAAACTGCGGCAGCGCAATAAATACATAATGTTAGATATGAAATACATGTTGATGTGTGGGGTTATTAGTTGATATTCCGTTTGTAGAGTATATTAATGTAAAAACAAAATGAATACAATTAAATGGAATAGTAAATCTACGTGACAGTATTTTGAATATGCTGAAAATCTAGTCGTTGATGTTTTATTACAGTCACTGACATTTTAATTGTTTTACCTTTTTTCTTAAATTCGACGGCTGCCCACAAACGAATTAACACCAAAAGACCCCAATGGTGAGTTCTTCATTCCTCCCAACATTGAAATGTTGCAACCCTTTCATTCAATTAACAGTTGTTGTTTTGATTAACTTCTTAATTATTTTCTTAATTTGTTCAGGACCTATGTATTTTGGTGGTCTCTACCACTTGTTCTATCAGTACAATCCTGAAGGGGCTGTGTGGGGAAACATTGTTTGGGCCCATTCAGTGTCCAAAGACCTCATCAATTGGGAAGCCCTGGAGCCAGCCATATACCCATCCAAGCCCTTTGACGTAAATGGGTGTTGGTCCGGATCCGCCACTGTTCTCCCGGGTAACAAGCCCATTATACTATACACCGGCATCGACTCCCAAAACCGGCAAGTTCAAAACTATGCTATCCCGGAAAATGCGTCGGACCCCTATCTCCGTAAATGGATTAAGCCCGATAACAACCCGCTCGTGATTCCGGACGCAGGTATCAACGCCACTGCGTTCCGAGACCCGACAACGGCTTGGTGGGGTAATGGACATTGGAAGATGTTGGTGGGAGGCAAAAGGAAGCATAGAGGAATGGCCTATTTGTATAGGAGCAAGGATTTTGTGCATTGGGTGAAGGCCCATCATCCTCTCCACTCTGCTCCCCAAACGGGTATGTGGGAGTGCCCCGATTTTTACCCGGTTCCATTGGTTGGAAAATTAGGGTTGGACACATCAAAAGTTGGTCGAGATGTGAAACATGTGTTGAAAGTGAGCCTTGATGAGACTAGGTATGAGTACTACACAGTTGGAACATATTTTCCTGAGAAAGATAGGTATGTTCCTGACAAAGAATTGGTGGATGGTTGGAGTGGATTGAGATATGACTATGGTAACTTTTATGCATCCAAAACTTTCTTTGATCCTGCAAAGAAGAGGAGAATTTTGTGGGCTTGGGCTAATGAATCTGATACAGCTAGCAATGATGCTGCTAAGGGATGGGCCGGAATTCAGGTAAAATAGTTGCATAAAAATATTTATATCGATTACGTTATTGATCGCATTTGTTGATCACATTGTTGATTTCTTTCCTTTATCAACTTGAAACGCATGCAAGTGATTTCACCTATGTAAGAGCTCTTGTCAACAGTGTGATTAGTAAATATGTCAGGCCTATTGTTGATTCTGATTTGTAAAGGATTTCTTTTTTTCAAGCAATATGTGCAAGTATTGAGATCTTTTGTTTGGGGTTTACTTGTACAGACAATTCCAAGGGATGTGTGGCTTAGTCCTGATGGTAAACAATTGCTACAATGGCCTGTTGTAGAATTAGAAACATTACGAGGGAAAAAGGTGGGCATCAACAAGCAAATTCTCAAGCAGGGAGATCATGTTGAAGTCGAAGGAATAACTGCTGCTCAGGTTTGATCCTCTTAAAACCTAGAATTCTTTTTTTTTTTTTTTTTTTTTTTTTAAATTTGTGCAACTCGTTTTTTTGAACATGTTGATGAACGCTCTTGCAGGCTGATGTTGAAGTGATTTTTTCACTTCCGAGTTTGGCCAAGGCTGAAGAATTTAACCCTAGCTGGAGTAACCTTGATGCCCAAACACTCTGTGGTAAAAAGGGTTCAAAAATCCAAGGTGGAATTGGTCCTTTTGGACTCTTGACATTAGCTTCAAAAAACCTAGAGGAATTCACTCCTGTCTTCTTTAGGGTTTTCAAAGCTAAAGGCAGACACGTGGTTCTCATGTGCTCTGATGCAACAAGGTATGTGTCATTTGATTTGCCCAAGTTCTTTCTCATTTTGGTTACAAAGGAGTGTTTTCGAACCATGTATCTCTAGCCTACTTCTGCTCATCACCCTAACCACTCTTATTAACTGGCTAACCCCACTAGCTTTTTGTTTAGGCACTATCTAACCACCATGCAATTCTTAACTTGGTCCTTTTTTGTTGGGAAACATTGTGATTAATTTTTGGTATTGTTTTTCCATTTTTGTTTGGGACAGTTCATCTTTGCAGGACAACCTGTACAGACCATCATTTGCTGGCTTTGTAGATGTAGATTTATCTCACTCTAAGAAGCTTTCCCTCAGGAGTTTGGTAAGTACCTAATTGGAATAAGGTCATTTACAATCTGTAACTCTTTTATTTATTTAATCAAATGGATATAATTAATCACTAATTATTGTTTTTCATTTTGGTCTTTAACTACAGATTGATCATTCTGTTGTTGAAAGTTACGGAGCTGGAGGGAAAACATGCATCACATCTAGGGTTTACCCGACTCTAGCGGTAAACAACGGTGCTCACTTGTATGTGTTCAACAATGGGACTCAGCCTGTTACTGCGGAGAGTCTCAATGCATGGAGTATGAATGCTCCCACGATGAACAAGCGGATTTAGGGTGTAGAGAGAAGAGAAAATGATTAGAATATTGTAATGAAGGATGTATCAGTCATGAAGTTGCTGTCGCTGATGCTTAAGGTTTTACTGGTACTTGTACACATTTTATCATAAAAAATAATTTTATATTTAATTAAGGTGCACACCTTCTATCAAATGTCCTCAAATTAAGAAATTAAGGATATAGAGAAGAGATTTAGCCTAAATGTCAGAGTGCCTAATTAAGGTGATAGTTTGGATTGAAAGCCAGACTGATTATTTTAAGACAGTATAGGAGGTTTTGTGAACTTGTAATCTAATGTGCGACGCAACTAATTAATCCACATGGATACCCCTGTTAATTTTCAAGACAGAAATTAATCTGTTATACTTTGCATTATTTTGCTTAAAATGTAGTGACACCATTGTTCATAAAGACATCTAAAAGACTACCACTCTCATCTAAAACATCCAAATTTAACAGAATATCCATTAGAAAGGGTAATCCAGGTCAACCGTTGCACATCCCTAGTTTTGATGGTTGTGATTCATGTTACAAGATCTTAGATTTCCATATATGTTAATTCTTACATTATCTTATACTAATTATTTCATAAGGCAACCAATAAAATTTTTATATAGGCATCCTACTTTTTGTGGCAACTATGAAAACAATTGACATAAATATAACTAGTTATATGCCCATACGTTGTACGTGTGTAATTAAATTTTCTATTATTTATTATAAAAATATTTACATCACTTTTTTTAAGAAAAAGAAAACTAAAAAAAATAGAAATAAAATTGGGCGTGGAACTTGGAAGAAGGGGTGAGAGAGTTGATGAAGTGGGAGACGTGGGTTTGGAAAACCTTCTTAATTTTTAAATAGGGTGTGCTGTGATTACTTGGCTGTGAGGTTTGTTTAAAAAATAACAAAATTTGTGTTGTATGTAATTACTAAATTGCCCATGTATTTTATTTTTGTTTAGTTTTGATGGGATGGTTAGAATAATACTTTTGTAGAGTTTTGATTGACAAATAAGATTCCTTAATAGGTAATTTAGATTTAGATATTAGCGTTTCGAAATAATAAAATAAAAATGAACAAAGAAAACGATTAAAAACATATAGCACCAAATTAACGAATGCTCCCCCCATTTCTATATTGTTAAAACAGTTGACACTAGCGTTTCAAATAGCACCAAATTAACGAATGCGCAACCGCTTTTATATATACAGTTTAGATGAAAAAAAGGGAAACGCAGAAATAAGTTGTTGGATCGGATAAAATGCACAACTCTATCAATTCTACTCACAAAATGGCAGCCAAAATTGATGCAACATCGGGATCATACGAACGCATGAAAGAAGTGAAAGAATTCGACGATTCGAATATGGGAGTCAAAGGCTCTCCGATTCAGGCATCACTGTCATCCCTCAGATTTTTGTCCACGACCCTCAAACCTTATCAGATCTCAAACCCTCATCCAAAAACACCACCACCACCATTCCCACCATCGACCTTTCTCACATCAACTCAGCCGCCCACCGCCCCAAAATCGTTGACCAAGTGAAATCCGCCGCCAATACCTTTGGCTTCTTCCAAGTCACCAACCATGGGGTGCCGGTCTCCGTTTTGGATGCAACGATCACCGCTGTCAAATCGTTCCACGAGCTGCCGCAGGAGGACAGAGCCAAGTACTACAAGCGAAATGAAGGAAAGGGAGTCATGTACGCTAGCAATGCCGACTTGTACCGCACATCAGCCGCCAGCTGGCGTGATTCTCTACAAGTGTGGATGAGCCCGGAGAGGGCCAAGGCCGAGGAGGTACCTGAGGCGTGTCGGGAAGAGTTGTTTGCTTGGGATCTGCATGCAACCAAGGTGGCGGATGACGTGTTTGAGTTGCTTTCGGAAGGGTTAGGGTTGGAGGGAAAGAGATTTAAGGAGTTAACATTTTCGGATAACAGGTTTCTGGTGGGGCATTGCTATCCTTCTTGTCCCCAGCCTGATCGGACCATGGGGATTACGGCGCATACTGATGTTACGGCTCTGACGGTTCTGTTGCGGAACCATGTACCTGGGTTGCAAGTTAGGCATGAGAATGAGTGGCTGGATGTGAAGACTGTGCCTGGAGGTTTGATTATTAACGTTGGAGACTTGCTTCAGGTAAATCCAATATGACAATAATATCATGTTCATATTTTCTCCTGCATGAACTGGTTCTTTAAGGGAGGAATCTCCATTTTTGTTTTTAAATGATAATTAGTTGTGAGATCTATTCCACATCGAATTTCAACCATCTAAAACCGTCTATTTTGCAAGTATCATCCTTACAAAAATTCAATTAAATCTGAACCTTTTGCCTATTTGATTGTTATAATGAAATTTCTATGTTTCTTAGAACTTAATGTTGTCAAATTTTTTTAGCTCAACTAGATGTCTGTATATTGCCGATTTGGCCAATATTTTGTAAGGATGATTTATAAGATGCAACTTGAAAATGGATTAGTTGTGGTACCCTTTAACATCTATGAGGTCCAACTTGAAAAATAAATCCAATTAGGATTGTTGAAGTTCGATTTGGTGTGGATCCCACAACTAAACCTTATTTTTTGAGAAAAATGGAGATTCCTTCTCTTAAAGACTCTGTATGTGTGTGATATATATATATATATATATATATATATATATATTCATAGTTTGTGATATCCTCTAAATTTACTTTCTATCATATGACTTATCAAATATCTGATAAGGTAGGTTCTAAGAGTAATATCCAAAATGGGTATTCTTTGCATGTACGCTATTGGAAATTGGAATAAAAATATGCATAGAGGATACAGTATAGATTTTTCTATTTTCACTTAGACAAAAATTAGTTAGTTTCATGGGGAAAATGAAAAACATTGTGGAGTTTCTATCTTCATTTTTCTGTTTTGTTTTATAGAAAGTAGTTAAGTTGATATGCTAAGTCAAGTGGAGATCCATATTAATGCAGTCAATATTAAATATATATATATATAATGGTTTCTTTTAAGAAAGCTTTAATGAAAAGGGCTTGAGCCAACAAATATTTAACCAAAAACCATCTCAAAATATTATTTAATCAAAATGGCTCAAAGTTTAATAAAAAAAACCATCCAAAACTATTGTCCACGCGCCAACAAATATTCTACCGAGTCCATGCACCACCATAAGGACCAAAACTATTGGCACTATCTTGGGAATGTCTCCGCCTCCTCATCTTCTTTTTCCCTTCGTCCTTCCTTGAGCCACTTTCCTCATGCCTGCTCTTCTTTTTCCTTGAGCCATTTTCTTTATATCTGATCTTCTTCCCCACCTCCCCATTTTCTTTTCCCTTCTTACTTGACTTCTCTTTAAATGAAGCTCTCTTCTTCTTTCTTGATGATTGCCCACTATCACCTGCAGCAGAATCATGTCCCCCACAGCAGGGGATCATCTTCATCATCTAATTGCCAATTGCCCGGTAATTCTCCATTTTCAAAAACAACCAAATCAAAGTTGAAAAATGAAGCATTCATCAGAACAAAGCAGCCAAAACAAGTTCAAAGAAGTTTAATGGCAAAAACCGATGAAAAAGTGTTTGAAAATAAAAAGAATCAAAACATAACACTGTTTCTGGAAAAAAAAAAAAAAAAAAAAAAAAACTCAGATACAGTGTTTGTTTTGTCTGTGCACAAACAAACACTGTATCAGGAAAGAAAAGAACCAAAATCCAGAAATAGTGACTTAAATTCCAGAAACAGTGACTTAAATTTCAGAAACTCCAGAAATAGTGACTTAAATTCTAGAAAATCCCGAAACAGTGACTTAAATTCCAGAAATAATGAATTAAATTCCAGAAACAGTGACTTAATTCCAGAAACAGTCTATGTTTTAACCTTTGACTGTTTCTTTTCTTTCATGCATCAATTGATTATATCTAAGAAATATGGTGCTTATTTTGCTTTGAATCCAAATACAATGAATTTCACTATTTCTTTTCTAGCTTACATTTAATTAAGAAACAATGACTTAGATTCCAGAAACAGTAACTTAGATTTCCAGAAACAATGACTTAGATTCCAGAAACAATGTTATTTAAAATCCATAAACAGTGACATATTGTTATTATTGAATAACATGCAGATTTCAAATCTATTTTCTGAAGAAACAAACGATGAAAACTTATAGTTGGGCCATTTATCCATTAACAACGAAAATCTGGAATCAACCTAAAAAAGTTAGGGGTAAAATTGACAAATCATAATTTATTATAGTTGGGCAATTTTTCGTTGGACTACTTTAATATGGGCCTTATACTAATCATTAAACAAAACTTATAACATGGTTTTTTTTATTAAAATTAAAAGTTTTCAAGCCATTTTCATTAGTTTTCCTTTCTTTTAATGAATATCGTACCGTTTCTCAAAACAAAAAATAAACGTTATTTAAAAATTTCTCTTGTTTTTTCATTTAATAAAGGTGCGTGATCAATGATGTATATCTTAAGAGTTGAGATTTATAATATAATGACCATAATTTTTTTTTAAAATTTTTAATAAAGGTGCGTGATCAATGATGAATGTCTAGTTAGTTGACTTGAAATTTTTAATGGCCATACTTTGTCTTTATATCGATTGTTTATTTCTTTTTTCTTTATTTCAACTATATATTTTTGAGTAATGTTATTCTTACCATAATTCTTTACCATCTTAGGTGACAGATGAGTTGAACAATCTACATCATTTAATTTCAATCTTTTTATTAGTTAAAACACTTAAATAATCTTAGGTGGAATGTGGAGACTTCTCGTATACCACAATCATCATTTAATCAACAATCTTTTTATTAATTATTGATTAACATTTTGATTAAATGTTAATTAATTTGGGAGTCTTAACGAAAAGTCCAAGGTACTGTTCACTTTAACGAAAAATTATATGTTTACACTAAAAAATCAATCCTAGTACTATTCACTTTACCTTTTATTTGTCCTTATCATTAAAACTCAAAGTTTTCAAGCCATTTTTATTAGTTTTCCTAATTAATTTAGATGATGTGGCTGTTTAACTCATCTGCCACCTAAGATAGTAAAGAAATGTGGTATAAAATTTTGATAAAAATAGCATTATTGTATATTTTTGCGTCCAATCAAGATTA